TAGAGAATCCACCCTGTGGGTTGACGCGGAGAAATTCCTCCTCTTCTCCCTTGTACAAAGTGGACAAGATATTTAATAGAGCGGCAACTGAATCCGGCCCTTTACGGGCGTAGCGGGTGGCGTCGTCCTCCCCGTTGAAATCCCACATGGGGTGACTTCTATACTGAAGCGGTTGCACCCCCCGCATGATGCATTCGGCCATAACTCTGATCATGGTTAGTCCGGAATGGGCCAACAATCTTATTCGGCCCATCAGGTAAACGATGTCCCTGTCACTTTCCCTTTGAGGGCTCCGTGGACGCCAGCTTAGGCGCTTCTTTAAGGGAGCACTATTGAATTCTGGGAGGCCGATCCAGACAGGATCCGGCAGCGGGACGTCTTCTATATAGAACCATTCCGAGGGCCAATCTTCGGACGCCTTCTTTTGGGGTTCCGGAAAGATATCCGATCCCGGCGATGCGCCATACTTCGGCTCCGCCCACTTGATACATTGACCCTTTCTTGAAACGGGGCACGAGGCAAAATAGATCCTTCCATAGTCCGAAATGAGCTTCAATACCCAAGAACAGCTCGTAGAGGGCTACAAAGCCCGCGATATGCAATACTAAGGCAGGCGTGAGATGATGTAGCTGGAGGCCGTAGAACTCCAGCAGCCCCCGGAGAAATGGGTGGATGGGAAATCCGAGCCTCCTTATTAAGTAAGGGACAAGGCACACCCGCTCTCCTTTGGATGGATTAGGGGCATTCTCTGCTTGCTCTCCGCCGTTGTAGACGGCAAGACCAGCTCGAACCGGGACCATATAGGCCGGGGGGAGAAATCCCTTGGTCTGGAGCGTCACTAGCTCACTATGCGGAGTAGAACATCTCTCCCAATATCCAGGCTTAGGGCTAGAAGAGCGAGCGGAGGAGTTGCGGCGGCTGGCCATGGTGGAATGGACCTTTGTCGGATGCGCTCTGATGAACACTCATGGATGGGAGAAGGTGTGGATTGGATCTAAATCCTCGTCCCCTTAAGTAGGGCAGCTCATTTACGCGGCTAGGGGTGTGAACGTAAAAACACTCAGACTTTTCATATTCGTTTGACACGTGGGAGACGGCCATTATTGAGCGTAGAAGCCAAGGAGCGCAACATCTACAAGAAACCGGACTTTATTCGAATAGGTACACGGAATTTGGAGGAGAACCCGCCTTGCAATGCCGAAGACAATCTGCGCGCCGGACTCATCGTCATTGAAGTCTGGTTCGGGGGCTACTAAGGGAGTCCTGGATTAGGGGGTGTTCGGATAGCCGAACTATACCTTCAGCCGGACTCCTGGACTATGAAGATACAAGATTGAAGACTCTGTCCCGTGTCCAGAGGGGACTTTCCTTGGCGTGGAAGGCAAGCTTGGCGATACGGATGTTCAGATCTTCTACCATTGTAACCGACTCTATGTAACCCTAACCTTCTTCGGTGTCTATATAAACCGGAGGGTTTTAGTCCGTAGGACAACATACACATCAACAATCATACCATAGGCTAGCTTCTAGGGTTTAGCCTCTCTGATCTCGTGGTAGATCTACTCTTGTACTACCCACATCATCAATATTAATCAAGCAGGACGTAGGGTTTTACCTCCATCGAGAGGGCCCGAACCTGGGTAAAACTTCGTGTCCCTTGCCTCCTGTTACCATCCGGTCTAGACGCACAGTTCGGGACCCCCTACCCGAGATCCGCCGGTTTTGACACCGACACTAGGTGTCACTTGGGAGCCTCCGACAAAGATTGTGGAGTTGAACCAAGGAGTTTGTAAGGGCAAGGAGATCGCCTACTTCGTGAAGATCTATCGCTAGTGAGGCAAGTTCTTCGTGGGCGATGGCCATGATGGGATAGACAAGGTTGCTTCTTCGTGGACCCTTCGTGGGTGGAGCCCTCCGTGGACTCGCGCAACCGTTACCCTCCGTGGGTTGAAGTCTCCATCAACGTGGATGTACGATAGCACCACCTATCGGAACCACGACAAAAACATCCGTGTCTCCAATTGTGTTCGAATTCTCCAAACCCTTCCCTTTACATTCTTGCAAGTTGCATGCTTTACTTTCCGCTGCTCATATACTCTTTGCATGCTTGCTTGATATGTATTGTGTTTGTTAAACTTGTGCCTAAACTCCACTTCAACTTAAGAAAAATTAAAAACTGCAACTTTTGGCACTTAGTGTCTAATCGCCCCCCCCCCCCTTCTCTAGACACCTCTTCTCGATCCTTTCATCAATCTAGATTAGAAGGACCTGACTTTGTTTTACAACCCCATTCGATCCTGAACGCAACCAGACTGTTGTTTTAACCACCATACAGCCAATTCTAGCAAGTTCATGGCTAACATTATTCGTCTGACGCCGGGTAGCTATAATCTCTATCTTCATCTCACTCTTGATCAGAGATTTGATCTCCTAAACTAAAGAAGCATCACGGGAGAGTGGACGTTCTGGACGCAGCGGCATCTGGACACTGCAATCTAACCACACGCTTTTATCATGGTGATCTGCGCATATCCATTGTTGGTCTAATTTAATCAAGATACAAGAGGAAATACAGGGCTAGGACGTACAGGGAGCCTATCCTAGCAGAGGAGGATGGTCCACAAAAAGTATAAAGGTGAGAAATGGTCCGCAAAAAGTCATCTCTCTCTCTGCCATACTAGCTAGGGGGTGGTGTGTACCTTATGTGCAGGCATGCACATCCATACCCGATATACCGATTCAAAGACAATAACTTAACTGACTTGAGACACGGATACGAAGTCCCGAGTGGAGCTTGTTCCGGCGATTGGAGAGGAGGCGGCAGCCGCCATGGCTGACGGGTGAGTGATTCCCTCCCTGCTTCGTCTCCTCCCAGTTTGCTTCTGTTCTTTTTTCCATGGTGTTCGGTTGTCTAATTCGTCCCCTCCTGTTCGCTACTCAGTGATTCAAATTTTTTGAGCGGTGTTGGTGGTTGTTGTTTGAGTGGAGGCTGCCCTTCTCCAGGCGACGCCATGTTCAGAAAATGGCCAGATCCAGCCCCTGGCGTTCATGCGTCGGTCTACACGATCTCCGAGAACGTGTACTGGTTCTCCTACAACCAAAAGTGGTCTGTGACCCTGCAGGTTCGAGCCAAAAGTCCCATGATACAATGCATTCTGCCAGAACGTACAGTTAGCTTTCAACTTTATATACGCTGCAAACCAAACTCCAACGCCCACTATACTCTAACTAGCATGTTATCCTGGTGTGAATTGCGAAGAACCACGCGCCGTCGATGCCGCTGCGTGCAGCGCTGCGCTTCTCAGCATCACGAGGCCTATTCATCGACGATTTGTGGCCTCTATCCCAAACCTTTCAACTAGAGGTGACACAATGAAGATTGCTTACGATGTGAAGAGCATGAAATGATAGTGTTGTCACTTGGATAATTTCCTCCAACAAAGGTATCTTTCCACGGCAGAACAACCTACAAAACCTCGTAGCCTACATTATAGTGTGATGTGGTCTGCCAGCTCACCTTTAAAAAAAAAGGAGAATGACCCCCGGCCTCTGCATCTGGGCGATGCATACGTCCACTTTATTAATTATTCTCACAAGACCTTACAAAGTCATACAACAGTAAGACTAAAGCCGTCTTCTAAGCAACAAACTGTCGCTGCACCTATCCAGTTGATAAAGGGGCGCACATAGCCTGAGCCTAATACCAAACAGACATCGCAGCCCTAACATCTAAGACCTGAGACCCCAACCTAGCCACTTGCCGGGTCTGGGGCACACACTGGTCCGGCGTGCTCTCAGAGGCCGCCGCTGCCAACTGCTACCGCTCCATCTTCAGAATTGTATTGATGCATCAACCTTGCTCGGTCCAGCTATCGTCGACGCCACCATGGCGCCCAACGACACCTCCTCCCTGCGCGCAAATAGCTGAACACGTCATGATCGCCACTGATACACCTCAGCGCCATGCTGCCAAGTATCACCAGCCGACACAGCTTGAAGCCCTTGGAGGATCTCCCAGCTCACCTGCTTGCATCCCTACTTTGATATAGCAAAAAAAGAGAATAACGAATCACTCATGGTACGCGTCTCAAGAGAAATACTACTCCCTCTGTCCCATAA